GACAAAGTCAAGTGCAAATATGTTGAGTATAAATTAATTCTGTTCTTCAAAATAGCGATTTAAAAAGAACAGTCACAATGAATGGCTTCTGTTTATGATATAAATACACCACATGTAACTGTAGTGTTTGGGCTACATGTATGTTAAAAGCAACTCTAAAAGAATAAAAGATATTGACCTCAGTAACGGTTCAGTACTTTGTCAATCTAGAATTTCAAATTATAGGTCTTCATGATTTAGAAATGATGAAAATCATTTGCATAACATTTCTAAGACCCACAGCAATTTTATGTTAAATAACTGTCTACCTAACAGTGATTATCAGCTGTTTCCCGCAGCCTGGTATCCTCTGCACTTGCTTGAGAGCTCATTCCAATTTTTCTGTTTTTCAATTATGCATTTCTGAATTCTTAATCAGAACTGATTTAGATGATTCAGTGTTAAAACCACCAGCAGCAGGTCTGCAAGTATGGCTTATGTTACTGTTACCATATTAGCAAGAATACCAATAAATTATGTAAAAATGGGTAAGTGAACAGCTTTAATCACTGCAAAGCACAAATTCAGATATTAACTTAAGTATCTTAAAAAGTTAACAGTTAATAATTTAAAATTTGAAAAGCTTATTTCAAACACTGTTGTTTGAATAGCATCTTATAGACTTGTTTGATATTAAAAGATAGTAATGTATGGTCATCAGTTAAAACCTGTCTTGAGAATCTTATCTTCCAAAACCTCTTCTTTATCCCTTCAAGAGTGAAAAAATACTGACTCCCATACCTCAGAAACCCAACACCTTGGTAAAGGAACAAAGAAATGGATAAACTACCCACTAGATGTCCCTGCTCCTCTGCTCAGGTTTGGCACATTGGTTTAGTTGCTATTGAAAGGATCTGAATCTAAAACCCCACAAGCTGCTTCAGATTCATTTTCATTAGGTCCCTTATGGCATTAATTCCTGTTAGTGTATTTCTGAAGGAAGAGAACCCTACGCAACACCTTCATATTACAGTTTAAACCGAGTTTACACAGTTATTTATAACTTCAAGAAGCTTTTATGAAATTTTGCATTTATTTTCAGGTGATGTGCTGAACTCTGGGAAGAAGATCTCTTATTTTCTATTCTCTTTTACTGGTGTTATTTCTGTGTTGGCTTTATAGCAGTAACCTCTCTGAATATGTTATTATTAGGGCATCTTTTAACTCATATTGCTTAACTATACCTCTTCATTTATATACTAAAATTGTGATGAGAAAATTACTGTTCCAGTGTTTAAATCTGCCTGGGCTAAAACTTCACAAGGTGCTCCTCATACTTTAACTCAAGGTATCAAATTATGTACCTATACACCTGTCTGAAATACTTCTTCCTCTTCTAATTCTTTGGGAAAGAAATGTCATTTCTAGAACACATGCATGTGAAGAGGCTAAATCAAAACAAATATTTAAGTCTAAAGGAGTTGTGTATGAAAAATTTGACAACCTTCTTCTAAACAGTAAAGAGACAAGTACAGTTTTCATTGGTAAATGGTATCAGGGCTTATTCTTGACAGTTTGCAAGTTATGACATGTAGCAATACAAAGTAATAAACAAATCCCTCTCGTTTTTTACCTTCAAGTCATCCAAGCTTGAAGGTAGAGGTCCAGGTTTCCGGTTGGGAATATTACTATTCTGCCTTGGTGAGCTGGCGGCTGATGTCGGTGTGCTGTTGTTCAAAGTACTCAGTGGCGTGCTCCCGTTGTTACTCTGTTTGTCATTCAGTGGCCTTCAATTGATAAGAAAAAGGGGGACAATGTCAATGCTAAATATGTTATGTTTTCAGTCATGCAGCTGTGATTCTGAATCTAGTGCCTACCAAGTTAATGAAAATAATTTTTATTTTACAAATACATATTTAATATAAGACATTACCATTAAATATTTTTAGTAAAATGGCACAAAGAAGAAAACATAACAGAGTAGTAAGTTGATATTTTATTTTCTCTTCAGTTAAGCATACTAATTCATGCTTCATAGTTTTTATTATTGTCATGGCATCTCTGAACGATGTTAAGGACTGCAGAACCTGTTATACAACTTAATCATCAGATAAACAAAAAAGTAAGTTAGTTTCTCTGACATCAATAAAAAACCTCCACAATATTGAACTCTGCGTATCAACCCTAAATACATGGCCAATGTTCATATCTATTAAGGACCAATATGAAGGTAGTTTACTCTGAAGATGACACATTTTTGTCAGCTCTACTCATAAGAAGAATCTCATACAAATAATTGTAAAAAATGTAAGAATGCTATAATTTACACTAGGTACCGTTAAGTCAGCTCTTTTATTTCGTTCAACTGTTTTATGAAGAAACATTCAGAAATGTCAGTAAATGGAACATAAGAAGCGTGGGTAAGCAGGCAGAAACATCTCCAGTCCAAATGTTAGGATACATGGTAATTATAAATATAACCACAGATGGTATCTTTAACTTTTCTAGCTTTACTTGCCGAGGAAAAGTAACTCAGTGAAAATTCATTTAATAAAAAAAAAAAAAGTTGAAAGTCATTTGAATTTAGGGTTGTGCAATTGTGGCATGTTACACTTCTAGGAAAAGATTGGTCTTAGATGGTGAGAATGAAACTGCAGATAGCGCCTCATTCTGCTATAGGTTGCTGGCAACTCCTTGGAGATGTATTTTTCTGACCGCTTCTACATCTAAATCAGAAAGTATACTTATACTTCTCACTGTAGAAAGTCCTAAAGATCAACACTGATGAGGACCTCGTATAAGCATTAGAGATGAGGCTATAAACAATATAAAAATTTTACCTAATTTAAAATGACTGTTTCTTTTTATTTGTAAACTGCAAAAACACAGTCTCTGAAACTGATGTAAAAAGACAATAACAACACAACAATAATATGTGTCTTTGTAAAAGACATTGTCTGTAATATTTGAGTGAAAATGGTGTCAAAGCTTTCTTGCTTTTGCATCAATGCTTTGAGTTTCAAATATGCATCTGATTGGAAAAAATACATCTGACAGGTAGGAGGTTCTGTTTCTATGTCACACAAAAATAACTAGGATGACTTAAAAGCTTAATCAGACTTCAGGAGTATTTTACCGAGAGAACCACCTCATCACATTGTTAACTGAGGTAAACAATACCCACAGTGATGCACACTGCCATTTAAGTTTTCTTGGGTTCCAACTGTCTCTTAACAATTGCAAAACACACTTACTTCTAAAGTATGAAGTCTATAACTGATGTATATATCTTTTCTTTAAAGGACAGAAACAATGCTTAACGTACTTCAGCGGTGCAGGTAGAATTGTCTGGTAGTTGTAGTGTTGTTGCTGTTGGCTCAGGATCTGCAGCTGCAAAAACAGTTGCTGCTGCTGTAGCAGACGAGCATAGTTGGAGTCCATCTGTGGCTCATTTTTCTCACCTTTCTGATCAGGTGGAATATATTGATGATACTTCAATTTCTTCACCCGTGGCTTAGGTTCTTTACATTTCTTACTCCGATGCTTATCATTTGGGTTCTTTGGGTGGCTTTGCTGTTTATGAATGGAAAAGATTGAAACAACAATAACAGACATCTGATTTACGAGCAGTTATGCAAGGTATGAAGATAAAGCGTACAGGAGCACAGTTGCTGAATACAATTATCCCTGCAAACCTGCCCAAAAGGATCACTTACCATCCTTCAAAAGTTAATGTGCTCCAGCTGGCTTATACAGTGCACAAGAAGGGGTCACCAAATCACAGTTTGTGAATGCTTTTTTAATAGATGGCACAAATGAAGCCAAGGGATTCTTCTAGCCATAACTTGTCATTGCAAAGAGGCATTCTTAAACAGTTAAGTTCAAAGCCACTTAGCACTTTGTGTAAGCAAAAGCTTGTATCTTAAACACCGTCCATAAACCCTTGCAGGTCAGAAGTACTGACAACAGGTCTAGATTAAAAACATGGACAGACAGTGCTATAAATTAGAGGATTACTCTTATGAAGGTTTCAGCAGTATCCTTATTAGCAATATCTGCACGTGTGATAAAACTCTTTTTCTTTACAAACTGTTTGAAATATTTTAAGTGAAAAGTTGAAGACAGTTACCCAGTCACACAGAAGTATCAAAGCAGAAATCCTGTGTTGATCCATGCACATTTATTACACAGATAACCTGTTTTGAGTGATATCTGAATTTGTCATTAAGGTCCTGCATTAAGTAAGCCTGGTACAAGTGCAGTGATTTCACTGGATATAGCCAAATTTATACTAGAAATTGACTATTAGAGGTCGTCCTTGTAAATTTAACCGAGAATTAATTTCATGTATTAGGTAGAAGCCTACATACATATAATCATTACACAGCTGAAGACCTTTGTCAAAGTTGCTGTAATGAAATGTTATACACATCTTCAACACAACCCCTTCTGTAATTGTATTTGAAGAAGTTTCCCATGCTGCTGGCTAGGTCAGTGCAGAAAAGAGAACTGAGTACATTGTTCTGATATTCAAATACAAGGATACAGTAACTTTGTTCACAGAGTGCATTCTGCTTATACAATAAATGAACTAAGAAAATAGTTGCAGAAAAGGAGCAATGCCGTTCACCAGTTGGGTTACAGGTAGACTGAATGCAGACCTCTTGAAATAATCAGCTAGTCCCTACAAGTGCTGATAGTTGATCTTTGAACCTTCCAGTCAACAACCCAGTATGTTCTCATGAATGCTAATACAAGTTGTTGTTAGTTGGGGCACTGTAACACTACTTGTGTATTTTTTCATTAAATATAGCATTGGAAAAGGACATAGATTAAGAATATAGTCCTCAGATGCCATTATTACAGATACCTACCTTTACTAACGTCGGCCCAGGCTTTGGTGCAGATACTGTATTTGTGGTCAGGGTGGCTGTAGCAGTAGAACGTGTAACATGCTGTTCAATTGTAGAGGGAGTTTTGAGAAATTCAGGAACTGGAGAGGTTAAAGGTGGATACTAGTATTAAAAAAATATAAGGAAAAAGAGAAACATTAAAAACATCCACCATCTGAATAATTGAAAAAATGTGAAAAGGTTAAGATAATTTACTATGATGTCAAATTCACAAAATATTTTTAGGAGGAATGGCGAAAACAGAACTCATCCATATACATTTTGGCACACTTCAAATACTGCAGGTAAGATAAACTGGTTTCTTACCTTGACTTCTTAGTTTGCATTTTAACTACTGCATGTAAATGTATGCAAAATCTGTTTTTTACTAATACAGGATTTACTTCTACTTTCACCAAAGCAAAATAGTAATTGATTGTAATATCAATTTTTGTAGTTTATCATAATAAATTTTTTTTCCAACATTAACTTTTTTTAAAATTTTATTGTTGTTTTTTCTGCAGGTAAAAAGAATGATAACTGAGTGAGATTTATAACGACATACAAAAACAGCCCTCAGGAAGGGCTTTGTTTCATAACCTTTATACTATTGTTTTAATTTGCAGCATTATTTTCTCCTTGTAACATACATGAAAACAAATAAAGAAATATCATGACAACATTTTCTTTCTGTATTTCTTACAAAAATCATAAAAAAGAGCTGGAAGGACCTTCAGAAATAACCTCACCCATTCAGGTCAGGAACATTTTACTGATACTGCTCCTAACATGTATTTGTCTCTGGTTGGTAGCCCAGAATCAGATTAACTAATCTTAACTATAAAATTGCAAAATTATTCTAGAACTGACAGCTGTCATTGAAGTACTTTTGCTCCTGGCATAAGGATAAAAAAATAAATCTTCTCTTCAAGGTAGTCAGTCAGAATTAAGGAAAATTCATGTCAAATAAATTTCTTTTCTTGTTAGCATTACCAAGTTTCAAATATGAAGGCTTCTAGAACTAAATAATTACAGTTTTTCAGAGTATAACTAATTCCTGTACTTTCATATGCAAGTACAGAAAAATAGTTAAAACAAAATTTTATTAATTATAAATAAAAGGAGAGATACGGGTTAAAATCATTAAAGGAAGAATGGAATGGATTGTTAGCACCTGTTAGTAGAGCTACCACCATTTATTACTCTGCTTGCAGCAAAATTAAACTCTGACCCTAGACACACTACACATATCCTGAAGCAGCCTACTGAAGTTACACTGCTTTATTACTATGGAATTAAGGCCTTCATTATTTTCTATCTGAAGTCAGAATCTTGTGTACACAAGGAGAATCTTGCCACCTAAACTAGTACTGTCCGAAAAGCCTCTTTCATGAAGGTCGAACATCAACATAGGGAAATGAACTTCTTGTTTCAGAATGATCACACAGCAGCAGAGCAGTATTTTGTATTTTGAAGAGACGCTTCCTATTGTATTTTCATGGCAACCATACCTCCGACTGTGCCAGGAGGTGCATTTCATCTGTATTTGCCAGCACAGTTATAAGACTGTATAGGTACAGTCCAGTGGCCTGAACTTTACTGAGTTTGTGCCCTTGCTGTTACATCATATGTGTAATTTCTTTTATAAACTTGCAAAATTCCATATAGCCTTTGGACTTTTTTATTATTATTCTTTTCCTGGCACTGCTACACCTACCAGAAAATTCCAGAAAGCTTTCCTACCTAATAATCAAACTTCACTGAGCTTAACTTTGTCAGATCAATTTTTTCTGTGCTGAAATTGTTTTCCGATTTAAAACCTATTTCCTTCTGTAATCAATATCCCTCTGGTGGGATGTAGATCCTGTACATAAACAGATCTCAGCCCATGTGTTTCTAGCTGCACAAACGAATTTTATTCTTTTCTCACAGAAGGGATTTTTCATTCTCTGACCATCCTTTCCTGTTTGAGTTACAGTTTTCTTTAGTCTTTTTTTGGATATAAGTAACTGGAATGTATAGGATATTCTGAATGGGGTCTCACTGTATTCTTGCGTTGGCATTAACTTTTCTACTGGAATCATCTCTTTTGACACACTTGGAATTTTACAGTAGCTCACAGTCACTGCACCCCAACCGTCTTCCTCCTCAGTTTTCTCTTGAGTCAGTCTCCAGGTTTCCACATTTCTTTGTCATGGGAAGGAGAGGTGTTGTGTATTTTTCTTTTTAAGAACTATTCCATTATATTTGAATTCCATTCCTCTTTTAAAAGCCAAATCAACCAGTTCTTTCTGCATAACAACAATCCAACTCTGTGCTGACTATGCCTTCCAACTTTTGTTACGTGACCCATTCTTATGTCAAGGTTGTTAATAGTAACATGAAACCAGAATGTCCCCAAATCAACTCCTGCAGAGCACTACTACCAACTTCATTTCAAACCAATACTTCCCTCTTTCTGTCTTATCTCTGCTAATCTCCATCTTCTCCAGTTTTGCTAGTGTTTAATACCTTACAGTATTAAATCCAGACAGGTGAGATCAGTTGCATTTCCATTGTTTTAGAAAAAAATTTGATCACCTAGTACAATATTTTTTATAAAAGCCCATCTATTTCCCTTATATTCCTATCAGTAAGTATCCTTTTTCTTCAGAGTACAGTCTAAAACCTTGCATTCTAATTAAGTCAGATGGGTATTCTCCTTAATTCATTTCTTCCTGTGCTCTACTATTCTTCCATGAGATTGTACCACAAAGGACTCAAATCAGTTTGCTAAAAACACTTGGTATACATTTTGCAACTTTATGTCCTGGTTCTTTTCTATTTCTGGGATGGCAATTATCAAGCTGCCAGTCTGCATGCACTAAGCTCTCCGACTGTCGCTTACAATTAAATTATAATAATTTTCCCTTCTATCTCAGGGTTTCTTTTATACATTTATACATTTTGCTGCAGCTATAGCTGGTTTGCCATAACCTATCTAAACTGTACCGTGGTTTTCATCCTCTGTAGGGCAGCCATCCAGAGGAAAAGCCGATGCTGCTTTACTAAATTGCAAGATTCAGTACACCAAGCCTAGTCACTGAAACATTGCACACATGCCTGTCTTGGGGTTGTGTCAGTTTATGGTGTCAGGCTAAAGATATAAATGCCTCTATTTTTATATCCAACTTTGAAAGTGTTTGCTCTGGAAAGCATCCGATATCTACACAGTATCTGTTATTTGCTGGACTTGCATAAGAATTGGCAGGGGACTTTAGAGGGACTTACCCTTTAAAAATGAGTTCTGGATACTCTGTTCCAACATATTGCACTCCTCTTGCTATTAAGTATAAAAGGCTTATTCTAGTTATAGCAGTAACATTTCGAAAAGCACTTAGTTTTTCCTTGAATAAGTGTCATGCACAGTATTACCAGAAAGCACAGGAGGATTCTAACAATTTTCATTGATTCTTAAATTTTCTTTTCCTGAAGTCCCATATAAAAAGCATATTAAATGTTTGATACTTCAGCTTATTTGTTACATAATCCTTTACCATTCATCGTTCTGGTCCTTCTTGAACTGAAACAAATAATTTGACTTCACACATACTGTTTAGCAACCCTTTCTAGGCTATGAAAACAGGCTCTAATGACAGCACAACAAAACTCTTGAAAATGGAAAAGTTAATTACTTTCAAAAAACCCGAACAAAAACCAAAACAACCCCACACTCCCAAAAACCCTGCCTCAAATTCATATTGCTTGGGTATTACAGTGTTAAACGTTCTCCTCTTGCCATAGAGTAAATTACTTTTTCCTTGCATTAGTTGTTATCCTAAACTACAAAGGATTAATGGGTACATGAAATACATTTTTACAGACTTCCAAATTTTACCTGCAAGTGTTAGATGAGGCAATGAATCATGCATATCATTTACTAGACAAATTTTTAAATTAAAAAGTCTAAATTAACAGGTCTCAACTTCTTAACTTGATTACTTCATAAAGTAATGTAAAGATTATTTCCTTTGAACAGATCTTGTTTCCAGTTACAGACAGTATGATTTCTAGACCTTTTCTTCTAAACGCAAACATGCGTCTTGCAGGTCAGTAATCCACAGTGAATTTATTAAGAAAATAGACATTATATTTTGTCTCATCAAGAAAAATGCTTCAGCCATTTTGAAGATAACTGTTTAATGTCTTCAGAGTTGTGTACACCACAATTTGATCTGTTTAGAGTGGTGTGGTTAAAATGCCTAATCCTTACCAGATGCAAATACATCAAGCAAAAGCAAGTTCTAGGTCATCAGTCAACGAGCTGAAGGTTTCTCAAAGTTATGCTACATCCTCTGAGGCCTGGAAATGTCTGGAGGAGGAAGCCTTGAAAAGAACTCTGGCTGCACTCCTCCACTGTTTTCAAAACATTCTTTGTATTTTATGTTGTAATAAAAGGTAAGATTTGTCAGAGGAAATTAAAAGAATGAAGGAGCAATTTCCCAGACACATCTCCTGTAGAGACATGCTGTGCTGTTATTCTTTATTTCAAAAGGACAACAAGGTAAGCATCTGTTTTATTCTGCAGAAGAGCAGCTTTGCATTTTAGATCTGTACACAGAAGCGGCTGTAATATATTATGAAATCCATAAGCAAGGATTGAAGTTCTTTCTGAAGTGCTTTTTCAATCAAGTTCAAGTGCTCTGTTATTTTGTTGCTGCAATCACATATCTATCTTATGCTTCCTACTTGAAAAGCTTTTGGCATGTATTGCTTTGAGTATTTTCATTTAACTCTCCATTAGGAACCTAACTCTTTACTTAGGAATCTAATTTCATGTGGTTTGTTTTCAATTTATTCAACACAAATTACATTCTCTCAACATGAAACCCAATCCACATCTTAACCCGTATGTTAGGGAACAATGAAATAAAATGGATGTGCCGTACTTAGTGTCCAGCATTGGTTTTGAATATGAACTTTGCAATACTTTTTCTATCTACTATAGTAATAAGAAAACCAAGTATAGTAATTCCAGATCCTGAACTACTCTGTCGTCAAGTACTTAGGGTCATTAAGACAACAACATCTTTGGAGCACGAACAAAATTTATCTCATATTTAACTTTCAATTTAACATTACTATACACAGTAACAACTCAATATTCACTTCTGTCTTATCTTTTGTTCATGTCTTAATTTATAAATTGCAGCACAGCTCCCTGTGTAAAGCCCAGGCTTTGCTGTGAATACTCAGAGATTTTAAATATATAAATAAATACATTTTCCAAAAGAATGCTTAATAAAAAAAGTATTTAAATAATTCAAACTGCAAAATTATGCATCTTTTTCTCCCTTGTGTAGTGGAGAAAATGATGAAGGAACACTCTTGGGAAGTCCTCATGAAAAAAAAAAATCCAGTATAGTTAGAGTTGATCAACGTTAACCTGAAGAATAGTACATATTTATAATAGTACCATGCACGTATTGGTCAAATTTAGATACACTCTTAAATTCTTTCAAAATGAAGTATTTTAGTGTTTGTGTTATAAAGGCTAAAACAACTTGTTTTTACCAGGTATGCTGACTTGCATGAAATGAAACAATTAAAGTCCTAAAGCTTTTGAATTTCCATCAAATTCACATTTTCTGCTCAAATTAATACAAAACATTTCAGCTAATTATAAAAAAAAACGACAACATT